CCAGGGTCAGCTCTCCTGCTCTCATGACCCCAGGGCTGGCTCACCTCTGACCAGACAACAGGGTCAGCTCTAGTGTGCTGCCCAAGTGGGGTACAGGGCCTGCTCTCCTGTGTGATGTAGCCGGTATAGGGCAGGGCTAGTTCTCTTACTCTCTTGACCCCCGGGGGTCAGCTCTCTCGCCTGCCAGGCTGGTTCCTGTGAAAAATCATTCCAACTTTAGTGGTACCTAACTGATCTGTGGGCTGTTCTACCTCACATCCTTATTAGGGCAGAAACGTACACCACATGTGGCCGACACACCTCGTCAGCCTTGGCAATGTTATTGGCCAGAGTAACCCATTTCCAGTTGACTTTCTTAGGCGATTCATTCTAATGGTTTTCCTAGTCGCCCAAGCCATTTCTCCTCAAGTCTTCCTGGAAGCATCATTGTCCTCAGGTCTCCATGTGTCCCCCCCCCCAATGCTGCACTCTCCTTTAACCTCTGACCTTCCCAGTAAGTACAGGTCTTCACTCCTGTCAGCCCCAGGAGCCTCTGACCGGCTGTCTTTTGCCGTCCCTTCCCCCGACAAGGATGTTGCTCTATCTCGTTCTCTCCAGTCCTCTCCCTGCCCACTCCCTAGGAAACCCTCTCTGCCTGTTGCTTGCTGGACATTCCCATCGAGATGACCCATGGGAACCTCACACTCGGGGAATGGAAACTTCAACCTAGCACCTCCCTGGAAATTGCCTCCTCTTCCTGACTTTCCATCTATGATACTCACGGTCACTCCAAGCCACTGCTGACTCCATTGGGCTACAGATCCTTGTTTCTTCTTCCCCTTTAAGGAGACTGATATTTCATGTAAACCCTTGTCATCCTACTCAGAGAGTGATCATGTTGAGGCTCCTTATCTACAGATTGAACCACACTCAAGGTTCGCCATCCTGAGATTCAACCAAACCGAGACCATGTGCTCAGCAGCAGTTCCCCCTGTGATCTTTGCGTTTGTCCTAAGCACGCACAGACATCTCGTCTTATGACTGGGTCCTAAATAATACAGCGTAAGAGTTACTTGCATAGCACATGACATTGTTTTCGATATTAAGTAATCTAGAGATGGCTTCAAGCATCCATGAGGAGTCACTTAGGGCCTTTGCAGACACCCATTTTATATAAGGGACCTGAGCATTGGAGGAAGCCTGGGGCCAGTCCCGGGTGAATGCTGAGGGCCAGCTGGATTCCCATGGACCTCATGCGGCCACCCTCTTCTCAGCCTCCCCCAAACACAACCACCAGACCAAGCTTCCCAGTTTGCTGGCCTCTCCCCCTCGCAGAAGCACCTGAGGTACAGACCACCCACTGGGTACCACTGGCAGCCTTCCAATCCTGCCTCCTTTTCCGACCACACTGCTCCGCTCATTTGTCTACCGGGCCTTCACTTGGCAGAAATAGGTGATTGTACATCTGAGAAACCAAGGGCAGTTTCTTTTCCACAGCAGCATCAGCATCCCATTCTCTCTCAGAGTCCTCTCATTTTGACAATAACAGGTTTCTATGAGGGTCCCTCTACGGGGAGTGGCTGCTGAGGGACTAAGTTGAGAAGCCTGTGGTGTGGACGAGGCATGGCCCCTCCCCTCTGCTTGCTTAATAGGAGAGCTAAGATGCGTGTTTAATGTGATGCACACATAAGTGTCAGAAATGTACAGAGTCCCCATGAGAAGGGGATCAGACATTCTGACGTAAAGGAGTTGTAAAGGAATGAAATGATGAGGGAGTTGGGCTTGGAGCTGAGCCATGCAGGACAGATAGTGGGATTCTGACAGGTGACGTGGGAGAGGGCAGCAGGCATAGCCTTGGTGGAGAAGAGGAAGGGATGTGAAAGCTTGGGCTTTGTGCTGTGCAGCTGTGGAGTGAGGCAGAATATGAAATTGGAAGGCAAGTGAGAGGTCATGGCCTTTGAGGCTGGTGCTGGGCTGGTCCAGGGGTCTCTTGAGAGACTGTGTGAACTCATGAATCTTCACAGCGGCAGAACCACAGAGCTTCATTTGTTTTACCGTGCTGTGGTTTGAATAAATTGTGTCCCGCCAACATTCAAGATGAACTGAAATCCCCAATGTAATAGTGCTAGAAGCTGGAGCCTTATGTGCACACCCATGCACACACATCCACACATATATCTGCACACACAAACACACTGTGTGGGAGGGTAGCCTTTGTGAGTGACAGTACCCTCATGGATGGCATTCTGCCCTCATGAAACAGCTTGGCCCTTTTGTCTCTTCTGCTTTGTGAGAGTAGAGCATGCATCATCCCTTTCACTCCTCTGTCATCTGCTATGGAGGTATATCAAGCACGATGCCATCCATCTTAGAGCCTTAGAGACAGAGAGGGCGCCTCCACCAGACAGGGACTCTGCTGGTGTCATTACCAGACTTCTCGGCTCCCTGATCCGTAAGAGAGAAATTTCTTTGGTTCATACATTACCTCACCTATGGTGCTGCAGAGACAGAGATGTACCCCCAGTCACAGCAGGTCCTGGAACCGTTGCTGAAGAATAGAAAACTGGAAAGTGAGGGTTCAGAAGAACAGATCAGGAAAGAGAGTGATGGGTACCTGAGCCCCGAAGTCATAAGAAGTGTGCTCACCAACCAGGAGCCGTCAGAAGTGTGCTCACCAACTAGGAGCCGTTCAGAAGCTCTGAGACCGGCTTCTCGGGATCGGCAGCCAGGGGACTCCATGTTGAAAGAAGGGAAGAAGAAATGGCACCGCCAAGCATGTCCTTCAGTCTTCAAGTCCACTTCAAACGCACTCATCCTGCTCCGCTGTCAATGGCTCTTCCCCTACACCTCTCAGCCACACTAAGTCACGACACCTGAAAGGCCACGTCATCAAAAACATCAAGAGAGGGAAGAGATGGATTTCTGTCACCCTGGAGCATTCTGGCCGGCTCGTCACCTCTGTGTTTTCTTG